GGGTTCAGTTTCCAGCACCCAGATGGCGGCTAACAAGCATCTGGAACTCCAGTTCCAAGGGATCCAACACCCTCTTCTCACCTCCTCTTGCACTGAACTACATGATACACTCACACACATAAAAATATTAAAATTTTTTTCCCTATGCATATGCATGTGTGTCTATGTGGAGGTATGTACACGAGTGCAGGGGCCTGTGGGGGCCAGAAGTGTCAGATCTCCTGGAGCTGGAGTTATAGGTGGCTATGAGTCCAATGTGGTGTGGGTCCTCAACAAGAGCAGTATGCACTCTTACCTGCTAAACTTTCTCTCCACCCCAGGAAGCACTATCTTATAAACTCCCTGAGAAAGGGACTGGAATAAGGTACAACAACAAGAAGCATATACATACCCTGTGATGGCTAATCTTGTTAACTGGAGTCAGGAATTTCCCCCATTAATAAAGCACACCTCTGGGTGTTTGTATGATGGCAATTTCAGACATGATTAGATTCTGAGGTCTCTGACTTAACCCCTTTGGTGGACTGAAATACCATGCCACTAGTGGAAGGTAGTGAAGGTGGGAGGTGGGGTTACTGAGAACATGTAGGTAACTGGGGCATGTCCTTAGGCTATCTTGTCCTGGCCTCTTCCTACACTCTCTCTGCTTCCTGGCTACCATGATGTAAACTGCTCTGCTCCACTACACTTTTCCTGCCATAATGCACTGACACTTTTGAAATACTGAGCCAGTATAAATAAATCTTCCCATTGTTTCTCTTAGGTTATCTGGTCACAGTGACAAGAAAGCTAACTAATACATATTGTAATTAAGTAATGTGGATCAAGGAAAAAGTTTCACACACATCAAATTAGCAAAGTAAGAAAATACCGAATGCTGTGGGAAATGTAAAAATGAAAACACTCATGTTTTGGTGGTGGAAAACTGGCAGAACCATTCCTGAGAACAATCCAGGCTTGCTTGCTGAAATTAAATATACACAGACTAAAACCCTGTCATTCTACTTTACAACATATAAATCAAAGAAACTACAGAATAAATTCATAGTAAGACAAGTCTGCAGAAATGGGAAGGGATAAGAAGCACTTAAGAGGAAACGATGAGCTATGGCACACAAATACCACATAATTTTATGTGCTGGTGAAAAGCACATACAGGTTATAAGTACCATGAACAATTTTGAAAACCTAATTTTGTTATAAACAGTGAAATTATACTTTAATATCAGGTAAAACTTTATAAAATTTACTTATTACATAGCTTTTAAAGGAAATATACCAAAAATATGGACGATAGCTTGGAAAGACAAACACTAAACACAAGAGGGAATGAGACATATGGAATAAATTTGTGTCACTAATGACAGCATGCTTAATAAACTATGAGTGATTACCAAAGTCCTCAAAACACAAAACACTTCATGTGAGCAGAAACACTTTTTGGGGGGTCTTTTTGAGACAGGGTTTCCCTATAGCCCCAGCTGTCCTAGAACTATGTAGACCAGGCTGGCCTTGAACTCACAGAGATCCGCCTGCCTCTGCCTCCCAAGTGCTGGGATTAAAGGTGTGAGCCACCATGCCTGGCAAGCAGAAACACTTTTAAGAGTTAAACACTCTTGAGATATGATACACAGCATATGGATGCAGCACCACAAGATTTATGAGTAGCTGACTTGAACAAGAAACCATTCTCTGGTCACCATGCAGAGAAAAAAGAGTGCAGAGCACTGTCCTAAATGGGATACTTATATCACACCTTCCCCTCTCAAGGCTCAGGGATCATTGTGGAAGAGGGGGTGGATAGGAAAGGTTTATGAGTCAGAGGTAGTAAATAAATTCAAGGAAACCATATTGTGTGGACACAGCAGGTAGCTGCATATACGAATCCATAGCACTAGTGACAGCAAGCACAAGTTCTGTGCAAACCCAATGCGGATGGGGAAGGTGGGCAAGAAGCCCCAGGCCTAGCTAGGAGTCTAGTGGCAAATGACAGCTGCTAGGAGAGGGAGTCAATATTCTTTAGAGGTGTGATGTGACCAGACTTCAGAGGTAGGATGACCAGACACCAAGGGAGAGATCCACACCCAAGAGCATTTGGGAACAAAGACTAGACTCAATAGGCCTTTAAAAAAAATAGAGAACATAAATGGGGGGAGGGGGTCAGGGTGGAGGTGGAGATGAGGGAAAGGGTCTGAATGTGATGAAAGACATTGTATGAAGTTTTTCAATAAAAACCCAAACCAAAAGAGTTTATTTTTCCAAGTAATAAAAACTAAAAAGCTACACAATATAAAAAGCCATTTCAAGGCAATACTAAGAAAGTTTGTGTTTTTCTAAGTTAGGTTATTCAGTAAAAGCTTTTAAAGTTACATTTAGGGCAAATTGATAAGGAAACATTTTATAGGGGGGTTTGTTACATAACCAAGCTCAACTTCACACTTGTGGTCCATCTGCCTCAGTCTCCCCAGTGCTGGAATTACAAGCGTGCAACACAGTGTCCAGCACCAATTCTTTTAAAAAAAGATTGTGTGCCTACATGAATTTATGTGTAGTATGTGCCTGAAGGTGCACATGGAGGCCAGAAGAGGAAACTGGACCCCCTGATTGGAGTACATTGGAGTTACAAGTAGTTGTAAGGCCCCGCAGATTGCAGTTACAGGTAGTTGCAAGGCCCCTGATGTGGGTGCTGGGGAACTGAGCTCAGGTCCTTTGCAAACACAGTAAGCACTCTTAATCACTGAGTCATCTCTTCAGTCCCCCCCCCCCCCCCGCACCTTTTTTTTTGGGCTTTTTGAGACAGGGTCTCCCTTTAGCCCCAGCTGTCCTGGAACTCACTATGTAGACCAGGCTAGCCTTGAACTCACAGAGATCCTCCTGCCTCTGCCTCCTAAGCACTGGGATTAAAGCCCCTAATTTTTTTTTTAACTATTTATGAAACTGAAGTTTTAAACTGATATACTCTGTGACGGTTTTTTAAGATTTAATAAGTACATAGAGAAAATCTTACAAAATTGGCATAGCATCTTACTTTTTAAATGTACTATTATTTTTAAAAGCTCCCTTAAGAGGCAGATGTACTATCCTCAATGTTATCACTGAAGAAAATGAAAAATAATGGAACTTAAATCTTGGATATCTTAAGTAGCAGTGTCCAATCTAGAATCCAGGTCTTCCAAAATCTATTACATTTTTAGTTATTTTGTATGTCTGCACATGTGATATGGTGCACATGAGGAAGTCAGAGGACAACTTGCTGGAGCTTGCTGGAGTCAGTTCTCTCCTCTACCATGTGGACCCTGGGACTTGAACTTAGTTCAACAGGCATGGCAGCAAATGACTTTTCCCCACTGAGCCATCTTGCTGGCTCAGGTCTCCTAAAATCTAAATTTGAGGTATTTTTGTTTAACTCACCTGGAGGTAATTTTTGTATAAATCTAGCACTTTCCTTTTGAAAACTATTTTATTATTTTTTATGTGTATGAGTGTATTGCATGCATGTATGTTAGTGCACCTGTGTCATGCAATGCCCATGGAGGTCACAACGGGGCTCAGATCCCCTGAAACTGGAGTTACAGATGGTTGTTAGCTGCCATGTGGGTGCTGGGAACTCAACCCAGGTCCTCTGCAAGAGCAGCTGGTACTCACCTCTCCAGGCCCTGGTATTTTCTTTAAGTCACAAAGAAGAACAGACTCAATGGCTTACAGTAGTAATGTCCACTACACAGAATGATATGAAGAGAAATGTAAACTATATCAACTCCAATTTGCAAGTTAACATTTATTTTAAAAAAGGAAATCAAGTTTAAAATATTTTATTTCTCCAGTAAAAGTAATTTCACAATCTATTAAAAATAAAAATTTAGCTGGGAGTGGTGGAACATAACTTTAATCCCAGCACTCAGGAGGCAGAGGCAGGTGGATCTTGGTGAGTTGAATTTGAGGCCAGCTGGGGCTGCACGGAGACCCTGTCTCAAAAAAAGAAAAAAAAATTACCTGTAATTTGTTCCTTTTTCCATTAAAGAAAGCATAAGAGATAGCATGTATTCAAGTAAATGCATAATTATATATTGTCAGACTACATGTCCAACTAAATAAAATATGAAATCATGAAATTTTATAGTATTTACACATTTTCCTTTGTGAGCTGACAAAATACAATAAAAAATTTAAAAGCCTATTTTCTTACTGTAAATTGTGATTTATTTAATTGAAAACTTTTTGGTTTCTGTACGATAACACTACTTAAGTTACTACTAGCATTCAATTTAGATGTCTAGAGCTGACACTTAGACCAGTTTTAACTGTTAAGATGTCTCAAGGCCGAAGTTGTCAAAAAAATTTGTTCCAAGAGCTAGGGTTGTAACTCAGTGGTAGAATATTTGAATCCCTTCTTCAACTTGAGGGATACTATCTGAATGTTAGAAAAATAGGCCTAAGATAAATAAATTTTCTCTAAGTACGTGTCTTTTCTGCACAGGATTAAGATTTCTATCCTACAATGATACAGTTGTTCTCTGCTGAGTATATATTGGTTAGACATGGTTTAATATGAACTGCTCTACAATTTCTTGATAAACATAAGTCTGTAGGAAAGATACAAACACTAATCACTTTTATCAAAAATATGGTTTTCAACAATATCTATAAATGTATTTTTGTGTATATTCCTTATAGTGTTAATCTGTAGTATGTTCACAGCAAGTATATGAATTTTCCACTTCCATGGAGAAATAGTCAGTGTAATGAAACACATTTAAACTCATTATTAAGCAAATATGTTAAATAATATATTTGAAATGGCAACTGATTTTATAGTCTCGATAATAAAAATTAAGTCTTAGAGAAATGTGTATCCAATGTGACACATTTTCACTGTTTAAAGTATATTCTCAGCATGGAATTTTTTAGTATGTGGAAGTAGAGAATTCAGGAAGATGAAAAATCATTATTGCCAGAACTAATTATATCATGAAGTGCAAATACAAAGAAATTAATAAGTCTTAGAGGAAAAGAAAGAATATCTATTTATTGATTCACTCAGGATGAAAACTACTTAACGCTGCAAGAGATTAAGAAACTATCATTCTAGGACCATCTCCTTCATAATGCCAGTGACTTCTAAAGATAAAATTTTATAAATATAATTAAAAAATAATAGTAGCAACTATTTGTAAGTAAGAACATATCACCTAAAGTAAATCCAACACTAGACAAAAATGCAGATCAGAAAATTTTTATTATTTAGTTTACTTAAGGTTATAAAAATTTAGGCTTTTTGCCTGTTTTTGTAAGTAGATGTTATCACTCAATTTCTGAGTATTTCAAGTCAATTAACCCAGAACTTTAAAAAACACTAATGATCCCTTCTAAGGCAGCTCATATAGTTTACTGTTCATCAAACTTATTGCTCCAATAAGCCTAGGGATTAAAATAAGAAGAAAACGAGAGCAATCTCCATAATCTTAAAGTGAGGTGAAACAATGTCCTCATGGTCCAATAAATTGTTAAATGTAACCAGGCCACTAGACGAACATGCTAGTGTATAACTTTAATAATTTCTAGCAGCAAAACACCTGGAATAGCTATGAACAAATGTTTGCATTGAATTGTAGATTAATTTTTCAGAAATAATTTTTAAAAGTATTGTTCAACTACACTCAAACACGAAGGATCAAAGATCTTGTTTATCTCCACTTTTCCCTGCAGAATCAGGTGCACCAGGAACCTTATTAGTTTCAACAAAAACAGATTCAAAGGCAGCTTCCTGTTCATCCAAAGAATCAGCAACTGTAACTCCTTTAATTAGTGTTGGGTTGGTAAAAGACTGTTGTTGCTTGGAAATTTTACTTGATTCTATCGTTTTTCTGCCTCTTCTTTTACCAAGGATTTTGACATAATTTGCAGGTATAAGTCCTGTTGTCTGACCATCAAGACTAGCCAGAAGCCAACCGCGCACTTTAGGTTGTTGTTCTGAAGAAAAAGAAAGACAGCGTTGTAATTATATGTTGGATGGCCAATAGAATATTAGTAAGAAAATGAATCAAGCAAAATCTGTGTAAAAATTTCATAATAAAATATATAAACAAATAAGTAGGCTTAACAGTTTTAGGTTCATTTTTTTTTTTTTTTTCTTTTAAACAAAGACATGGAATCTCACAGTTGCCCTGGTTGGCAATCCTGCTTTGGACTCCCAAGGAGCCAGGCCTACAGGTGAGTGCCAATGAGCCTGGCTTTTCACTCCATTCTTTTTCTTTTTTTTTTGTCTTTTTGAGACAAGGTTTCTCAGAAGTCCCAGATGACCTGAACTTACTATGTAGCTCAGGCTGGCCTTGAATGTACAAAGATCCGCCTGCCTCTGCCTCCCTGTGCTGGGATTAAAGGCATGCACCACCATACCTGGCTTCACTCCATTCTTACATTTATAAGTATAGAGTAATAAAGTATACTTAAGTACTAAAAATTATAAAGTATACTTTATGTTTACTAAATATTTCTCCCTTAAAGAACATAAAGATTCTATGAACTGGTTCATTCATTGGGTAAGGAGAATCAGTTCTTTCAGAAGCTGAAAATTAACATCAGTGCTGACCCAGGTACAGTAGTGCACACCTATAGTCACTCAGGAGGGTGAGGCAGGAGGACAAGTTTGAGGTAACCTGAAAAAAAAAAACCAAAACAAATCAACAAAAATCCATCAGTCTCTTTCAGATTTTAAATTAGAATCTAAGGAACTAATACTTTGTTCCTTCTCAATTGGGGAAGTTAAGGTCAAGTACAGAAACTACATATATACTTTTCTTTTTAAAGATACAGGTATGCTGGGCGTGGTGTCGCACACCTTTAATCCCAGCACTCGGGAGGCAGAGGCAGGAGGAGCTCTGTGAGTTCAAGGCCAGAGTGGTCTACATAGTGAGTTCCAGGACAGCTGAGGCTACAGGGAGACCCTGTCTCAAAAAGACCAAAAAAAAAAAAAAAAAAAAAAGACACAGGTATGAGTGGGGCGTGGTAGTGCACACCTTTCGTCCCAGCACCGGGAGGCAGAGACAGGCAGATCTCTGAGTTCAAGACCAGCCTGTTTTACATAGTGAGCTCCAGGCCAGCTGGGGTTACAGGGAGATCCTGTCTCAAAAAGATTTTAAAAAAAGACACAGTATGTTATACCTAGGCTGGCCCCATATTTCTGGGTTCAAGTGACCTTCCTGTCTCAGCCTCCATAGTGCCCGAGGATATAAATGCATATACCACCTCACTTTTCAATATATGCACACCTTTATGTAGTCAGTTTTCTTTACACAGCTTTTAAAAAATATTATTTTTACTTTATGTGTATGAGTGTATTGCCTGTATGTAGGTATGTATGTATGTATGTTAAGTACACCCATGTCCTACAATGCCCATGGAAGTCAGAAGAGGGAGTTGGAGCCCCTGGAACTGGAGTTATGGATGGTTATTAGCTGCCATGTGGGTGCTGGGTACTGAACCCGGGTCCTCTGCAAGAACAGCCAGTGCTCTTAACTACTGAGTCGTATTTTCAGCCCCTCATTACAAAGTTTTGGTAAAAATATCAAACTCATTTGATGTGATCATGATAAATAATCCTGAAGACAGTGAATGGTAATTTTAACTAAAGATGGACAAAACTGAAGCAACCAGGTATCCTCTAGTACTATGCCAAAAAAGTTAAAGGTAATAATCTAAGCTTAAGGAAAGATTTAATATATTTAATTTTATTGGCATTTTCCTACTTTTTTTTTTTTTTTGGTCCTTTTGAGACAGGGTCTCCCTGTAGCCCCAGCTGTCCTGGAACTCACTATGTAGACCAGGCTGGCCTTGAACTCACCGGGATCCGCCTGCCTCTGCCTTCTGAGTGCTGGGATTAAAGGCATGCACCACCACACCCGGCTCCCTAAATAGTTTTATCCACATCTTTAAAAAAAGTGCTCCAATTTTAGTTTAATGTTATAAGTTAGGAATAATGTAAGATTTTTGTCAGGCTGGAGAGATGGCTCAGCAGTTAAGACCACTGACTGCTTTTGTAGAAGACCTGGGTTTATGTATATATAACATATATATAACATATATATAACATATAAAATGTCTGATTTTGGCCGGGCATGGTGGCGTGCGCCTTTAATCCCAGCACTCGGCAGAGGTAGGCGGATCTCTGTGAGTTCAAGGCCAGCCTGGTCTACATAGTGAATTCCAGGACAGCTGGGGCTACAGGGAGACCCTGTCTCAAAAAGGCCAAAAAGAAAAGTCTGATTTTGTCCTAATGAACAAACATATTTCCCTTAATCTTAATTACACAATGGGGGAAAACAAGGAAGTAAAGCTAAAGTGTTAAGAGGAAATCTTAGATGAAAAATAACCCTTTTCTCTGAAATAAAATGTAACAGCAAGAAACCACACTTTATCAATTTTATTTAAATACATTGAAACTAATTATCAGTTCCTGTTTCTGACAATAAATCTTAAAATTAAATCATTCTTTTAAAATTCAAAATAGTAAATTATTACATTCATTAGAAGAAAAACACAAATACCTAGAAGCCTAGATTTTATGTATGAATGGATGAGATAAAGATTTAGTAATCCGATCTAAGATTTTAGTGGTTTATGTATTAAACTAATGATCTGAACCTTGGTTTGTTCCTTCTCAATTGGGAAAACTAAAGTCTCCCTTCTCCCCTTTCTTTGAAGAATGACTAGACCCAGTCAATATGAGGTGAATTAGCATGGGTCCTGAAGTTATACACTGATTCTACATTTTAGCTTTACTGGACAATTAACCCATTCTGAGACTCAGTTTCCACATGTAAAACAGGGTGATGTTTTGCAATAATTTGGAATTCCCACAAAAACCCATAACTATAAAAAATTACAAACATCCTGATCATTCCTTTTTGGGAAAAGTCAAGGAAAAAGTCATTTTGTATGACATCATTAATTACCTGGTCTAAAACCACATTTGAGATGTGTACAAATTTCTTGAAGTTCTCTAGTACTTCAGGATAATTCTTAAAAAAAAAAAAAATTATGTGAGTGTTTTGCATGGATGTTTGTTAAGTACACCCATGTACCCAATCTCTGAGGAGACCAGAAGAGGGGGTCAGATCCCTGGAACTGGAGTTACAGATGGTTGTAAGCCACCATGTGGGTGCTGGGGACTAAACCTACGTCCATTGCAAGAGCAGCCAGTGCTTTTATAACTGCTGAGCCATCTTCTTCAGTCCCCAGGATGGAGTAGACAGGAATTTTCAGATGACATTATATAATTTTTTCTGGGTTTTACTGGATTTATTATACTTGGTACTGACTTCATGGTTTAGCGGGGATTAATAGTGTTTAGAATTCAGGTGTTCTGAATTTAGAAGACATACACAATCTTTGTGAACTATCACTGGAACAGCATTGTGGGTATTTCCCCTGACTTTCTCAGATCTGAAGTTCTAAATTAAGATAAAGTTGGGAATGGTGGCTAATACCTACAAATCCTAATTGGGAGGCTGAGGCAAGAAGACTGCCATGAGTCTGAATATAGCCTGTGCTCTAGAGCGAGTTCTAGACAAGCCCTGGTTACAGAATGAGACTTTGTCTCAATCTCTTTCCCTGCAAAACTAAACCCACCTGCCCACCCACCCATCCAACTCACCCACCCAACCAAGCACACACGACAAAAGAGAAATTCCAGTAACTATCTGAAAGTTAATAAGATCCTTTGTTTTAATTTCTAATACTACATTTATAAATATTTAAAAATCAGGACAGTTACAACTTATTCATGATTTATTACCTTTAAGAGCTAAATTTAGCATATCACCGGCACGGAAAGAAATTTCTTCTTCAGATACGGCAGCAAAATCATATTCTGCTCTAGCAACCACATGGTCATCCTCACCACTTGCCCAGTTGATATTGTCTATAAATCAAATTAAGACACAGTTAATAAGTTTCCAAATGCAGATATTCATTGGCTATGCCTTGGAAACTGCATAAATTTATTTGCCAAGAGGACAGTTCTCCCTTCCTAAATAAATCCTACAATCAACACTGTGCTGAGTAACAATAAGTTCCCTACCCTATCTCTAAAGCTATTGCTTTCCCTTTCTCTTAAGCTCCCTTACTTAGATCAGGGGTTAACAATCTTTTTTTTTTTTTGTAAAAGGTCAGTAGTATATATTTTAGACCTTGAAGGCCAGAGGCAAAGTCTCCTGTATAGTATGGATATAAAGGATATTAATGTAGTTACTTGTATAGCAAGAAAAAAGTTTCATAGATTTTGACAAAAGTGAATTTTTTTCACTACAGTTCTATGAAGAATAGTGACATATTTTGGAGAGGGATAACATTTCACTTATTTTGGATTCAGCTGCCAGCATTTACTTGTGAATGCTAACTGTAGTAAGGTTTAAGGTTCTTCGTTTTTGAAAATGCCTTTTTTTTTTTCTTTTTTGTCTTTTTGAGACAGAGTCTCCCTGCAGCCCCAGCTGGCCCAGAACTCACTATGTAGACCAGGCTGGCCTTGAACTCACAGAGATCTGCCTGCCTCTGCCTCCTCAATGCTGGGACTAAAGGTGTGGGCCACCACGCCCAGGTCAAAAATGTCTTTTCACACAAATACTGTTGAATCCTGGTATAAATTCATGGGCTTACAAGTTTAATTAAACATATGCATTACTTGGGAGACTAACAGGCTAGAATATAATTCTGTCCAAATCTTCTCTGGATTGTGCTTTCTTTATGTTATTACATTATTGATTAATCACTCCCAAATGATGACTAAGTAGAAACTCCTCAATTACACAGTTACAAAGATTCTGTAATACAGAAATTTCCTTTGAATTTGCATGGAGAATTTGGAGGTCCAAACAGAACTTCTGGCATTATAGTGTGAACTTGGAAAATTTATCTGCTGCAAACCTGTAGAGGAATGGAAATCTCACTTCTTAACTTTAACTTTTTATCATTTTTATATTGGTATATATTTCCCATAGTAATGGGTTTCATTATGACATTTTCATACATGCATACAATGTATTTTGATTATATTCACACATCCCCTTACCCTTTTGCCCCACTCCTGCTGATCCCCTTCTCTTCCCAATCAGTCCCCCTTCTACTTTATGTCCTTTTTTCCTTTTATGAGCCAGTGTTTCTTAGGGTTACTTATAGATAAGGGGCTATTTACAGGAGCACGGGCAACTTACCAGTGGCTGTCACTTAAGAAAATGTCTTTCACCAGGTGTGGTAGCGCATGCCTTTAATCCCAGCAGTTGGGAGGCAGAGGCAGGCCGATCTCTGAGTTCAAGGCCAGCCTTGACTACTTAGTGAGCTCCAGGACAGCTGGGGCTACAGGGAGACCCTGTCTCAAAAAGACCAAAAAAAAAAAAAAAAAAAAAAAAAAAAAAGAAAATGTCTTTCCCTCCTCCACTGACCATTAAGTGCCTATATATTCTCAAGGATGAATGAACCTCATGAACCACTCCTCCCTATAGCAACTGTTAAGTTCCTACAAATCCTCCGGGTGGGGAGGGGGTGAGGGGTGGAGGGCAGGGCCTGTTGGCAGGCCCAACCTGGTAACGGTCTTATGAAGTTACTTTAACAAAACCAAAGCAACCACCCCCTGCCACAAAAAAGAGTACTTTTATTTTTGACACAATTTGGTATTAACAGATAATAATTATATATTGTAAGAGTAAATAAATGGAAGTTCACTTTTGAAAGTACTGCATCAATAACACTTGATAAAATATTCCCTGTTGAGGAGTAAACAACGAATAACCACAGACTTTCAATTTTGTTTTCAAAATATATTCATAGTGTACAGATTATTCACAGTGGCTAATTCCTTCAAACTTATTGTTGCCTTCTCAAGCAACTGAGCAGTATCAGATCTGCTAGTTCATCATGGACCAAAGAATTTGCCTCTTTTTCTTTTTTTTTTTCCTTTCTCAGTGGAGAACTGGGGAGGAACTAGACCCAAGTCCTTGTGCATGTTAAATACATTCTCTGTCACTAAACAATACATTGTAACCCTTCATCTGACTATGATATTCTAAAGTTGTCAATTCTTTTAAGAAACTTCTCACGGACAGGCTTAACAGTCTTAAACCTCCTTTCTCTGGATACATTTCTTTGTTGCAGTTATCACTATCAGTAGTTTTCCTCCTCTAGCTAGCAAAAGAAACTTTCAGATTATTTTGGCTGCAGCTTCTACTTCCTTTTTTTGGATGGTAATAAAATTTTCTCTGATAAGACTTCCATTTTGTAGTTTATTTTCTGTGACTAGTTTTCAGTGTTGTAGCTCTATTCATTTAACATAGCTATCATGTCAATGCATAATTAACACAGCACTTTATCAAAACTCACTGTAGTGTGCTTAAAGTATGACAAAGCCTACTTTTTCTCCTCTTATTTCTGTATACCACACATAAATTCATAAGAAAATGTGTAATGAAACAAATGTAAAATGAGATGTAGCTCAGTAGTAGGAGCTTGCCTAGCATGCTTAAGAGTCTAGGTTTAGGGGCTGGAGAGATGGCTCAGTGGTTAAGAGCACTGACTGCTCTTGCAGAGGACCCGGGTTTGATTTCCAGCACCTACATGGTGGCTACGAACTGTCCTTAACTCCAGTTCCAGGGGAATCCAAAGCCCTCTTCTGACCTCCGCAGCACTGCAGGGCACGGGTACACTAACATACACGCAGGCAATACACTCATACACATAAAATAAATAAATAAAATATATTAAAAAGTTTTAAAAAAGAGAGTCTAGGTTTAATTCTGTGCACCAAGAGAAAAAAAATACTGTAGTATGACAATCTATGCTGCCACATATAGTTGAGTGATGGAGATCTATGGTATGCAGACTGAAAGTGTAAAGTAATTAGAATGTCACAGTCTCTACACAGCTACGATATGTATGAGTGTGCTATGTTCCAATAAAACTTCATTAATGAATACTAAAATTTGAATTTCATGTAAATTTCAAATTCTGGGGTTTTTTTTTTTTTTGGTATGTGTGGTCTGCATACATGTTTGTGTGGGTGTGCAGGTGTGTGGCGGTCAGAGGCTGATGCTGGGTGCTTTCCTTTGTATCATTTTCTACCTTGTTTTCTGAGACAGGGTCCCTCACCGAACTTGGAGCTCACAATGGATAGGCTGGCCCACCAATGAGCTCTAGGACCTACCTGTCTTCTCCTCAAGCTAGTGCTTGAGTTGCAGACACACAGGAGTCCTTTATGTGAGTGTTGGGATCCAAACTCAGGGCCTCATGCCTGTGCAGCAGGCACTTTACTGAGTCACCTCCCCAGTCTCTCCTCTAATTTTTAAAATATTTTTTCTGATTATTGAAAAATATAAAAAGATTTTTAACTTGTATGTTAAAGAAAAACAGGAGCAGTTCAGATCTGACCCAGAGGCCAGTCTGCAGAAGTCTGCTCTAAACAGCAGGCAACTAAGTTGAAAGAACTGTTTAATTTTGCTTCTCAAAAATCTTTTTACTCTAACTCATTCTTTTTTCTCCCCTCTCAGATAAAGACCTGCTCCTCCTTTTGTACCTGGTTCTTTGGGTCACACTTTCTATTTCCTATAAAGAAGCTTCATTATTTAATTCCTCTACCTCTCCCTGATCTATAATCACTCCTCTTTTTTCTCTTGTTTTTTTTTTTTTTGTTTTGGGGACAGGAACTCTCTCTGTAGTTCTGGCTGGCCTGGAACTTGATATGTAGACTACGCTGGCTGTGAACATACACTGATCCTCTGGCCTCTGCCTTGCAAATGCTGGATTAGGTGGCATGTGCACTACCATGGCCACACATCCCTATGATTTTCTTTTGGCCTAAAAATATCATCAGGTCTAAATTCTTGAAAGACAAAACAGGACTGAGGATGTAGCTCAGTGGTAGACTGCTGTAGCCCAGGCAAGACCTTAGGTTTGATCAACGCGCGTGCACACGCACACACTCACTCACTCACTCCTGAAAATTACACTGACCAACTGCTTTTTTCTTTTCCTTAGTAAAGTCATTGTTAATCTTTTCTTTCTTCATATCTTCTGACTTAATTTACCCCTTACCCACCTCAAAAGTTTCTGTCTTTTATCAGAACCATTTTCTGGAGCTGGAAGAGCTCCAAATGCCAAATCTAATCTTCGGGTCTCATCTTTCTGCAGCACATCATTCATTACCCGTCTGGCAGGTTCCTCTTGTTCTTGGCTCCTGTAATGTAGCAATAGTATGGCTCTACTTCTGTTCTAGGGGATTTCTACCTGGCTTTTCTTGGTTTCTCTAGAACAGTAATACCAGTCACTATTTCAACTGTCATTTCTATGTTGATGACTCATAAATCTTATTTAGTAATTTATTCTTTCTTAAGATCTTGTCCTGCCTTCTTTCAATTTACTTGTATGCTGCCACAGCACACATGTGGAGGTCGAAGGACAACTTGTGGGGTTTGGTCCTCTCTTACCATGTGAGTCCTGGGGCTCAAACTCAGGTAGGTCATCAGGCTTGGCGGCAAGCACCTTTACCTGTTGAGCCATCTTAATGGTCCCTGTCTCTTGCCTTTTAAACTGTTTTCTGCAGCCTAGCATAGTGGCTCATGCTTTTAATCACAGCAGTTGGTAGGCTGAGGCAAGAGGATTGTTCCAAGTTTAAGGCTAGCCTCGGCTACAGAATGAGAACCTGACTAAAAAATGAAGAAAGAGGGACTGGAGAGATGGCTCAGTGGTTAAGAGCACTGATTGCTCTTGCAGAGGACCCAGGTTTGATTCCTAGCACCCGCATGGTGGCTACAAACTGTCCTTAACTTCAGTTCCAGGGGAATCCGAAGCCCTCTTCTGACCTCCGTGGCATTGCCCGACACAGGTGCACCCACATACATGGAGGTAATACACTCATACACATAAAATAAAAATAATAAATAAGGGTGGGCGTGGTGGTGCATACCTTTAATCCTAGCACTCAGGAGGCAGAGGCAGGCGGATCTCTGTGAGTTCGAGGCCAGCCTGGTCTCCATGGTGAATCCAGGACAGCTGGGGCTATAGGGAGACCCTGTCTCAAAAAGACGACCCCCCCAAAAAAAAAAAAAAAAAAAATTTAAAAAAATGAAGAAAGAGAAACCAACATTCTCAAACTTCCTTAAGTTTCACTGAATGTCCCAATGGCATATTATCAAACTCAATATACACTCAACCACTGTATTCTCACCCTTTGTTTCATGCTACATGGTCACCATCCCACCAGCTTTGTTCTTTACATATCACACTAGGAATCCTGCCACTGAAATAAATACCTCTGCAGTTTTGCTGTTCCATTTCAAACCTGATTCTCCAACAGCTAGAGGTCTCCTTCCTCACTTCCTTCAGGAAGGCCTTCCCGATGATCTGCAGCACTGCACCCCCTCTTCTCTCCTCCAGTACTCCCCAACATTCTTCCCTGCTTATTTTTTTCCTACAGCACTTACTCTCTTCTGAATTAGTATACATTCTGTTTAATGCCTCCACCATCAAACTGTCATGAAGGCACGGTTTTATATGCATATCTTGTAGAACTGTGACTGAAATGAATTAGATGCTCAGCAAATACTTATTAATGAATAAAATGCCCTTCACTCAAGTTTACAAGTCTAGTGCATATAAGCCCTTCTTTGTTTTTATCACATCTAACCAGTGACTAAATCCAGTATTAATCCTGCTTCTCATATACCCTGATTTCAGGCTCATTCTTTTTCATCAATTCTAATGTCAAACCATTAGAACTGAAGTCCTCAGATTAGTAAATATTAAGCACTTTTAATGTGCCAAGAGGACTGAACCTAATTCAACCCTTTATGAATCTTACCATCTAATTATAACTTGTTTTAACCTTGATGTATCTCACTTTGCACAAATTGGTATTCTCTTTCTCACTCTCTCTCTCCTCTCTCTCTCTCTCTCTCTCTCTCTCTCTCTCTCTCTCTCTCACACACACACACACACACACACACACACACACACACACACACACACACACACACACACAAAGGGCATCAGACCCAGACCCAGGGCCTTACACATACATGGTAAGTAACCAAGTAAGCACTTTGCCAATAAGCTATACCTCCAGTCCCCAGTATAAATTACTTAGAGCCCCCCCTCCCCCTTTTTGAGACAGGTCTCACTATGTAGCCCTAGCTATCCTGGAACTTGCTTTGTATATATAGACCAGGCTGGCCTTGAACTCAGAGATCCATTTGCCTCTGCCTCCTGAGTTCTGGGGTCAAAGGCATGTGTCACCACACCCAGCCTTTAGAACATCATTTATGTACACCATAATTAAAACAAAAACTACCCACCTATTCCTTACTACGTGAAAATAAAGTTTCACAATAGCAATTAAGACCTTTCGCCATTAGCTTTCAATTTGATTTCTCAGCCTACTTCTTATTATCTATCCTTTTAAAAAAATATTTTTACTTTATGTGTATGAGTGTATTGCCTGCATTTATGTAAGTGCACCTGAGTTGTGCAATGCCCATGGAGGTCAGAAGGTGTTGGATCCCCTGGAACTGGAGTTATAGACGATTGTTGGTCGCTATGTGGGTGCTGGGAATCAAACCCGGGTCCTTTGCAAACACAGTCAGTGCTCTTAACCCTGAGCCATCTCCAGGCCCACTATCTATCCTTTTATTCTGTGTACAGGACAGCTGCTGAACAGTTCTCGTATTTTCTGATGTTCAGCTGCTTGCACTGATTTAACAGTCAGATTAAGATTGAACCCCAGGGCTTCATGCCAGGCAAATCAATGTTTTATCAGTAAGCTACATCCCTGGCACTTTTCCCTTGGCTTTTTTTTTTTTAATATGTATGCCTGTATTGCCCGCGTGTAAGTAAGTGTACCCATGTGGTGCAATGCCCGAGGAGGTCAGAAGAGGCCATCGGATCCCCTGGAACTGGAGTTACAGACAGCTGTTAGCTGCCATGTGGGTGCTGGGATTTGAACCCGGGTCTTCGGCAAGAACAACCAGTGTTAACTGCTGAGCCATCTCTCCAGCACCCCCAAACCCTCTTTTTAAAAAAAAATATTTCCAGGGCTGAAGAGACGGCTTAGCGGTTAAGAGTACTGACTGCTCTTGTAGAGGACCTGGGTTCGATTCCCAGCTCCTACATGGCAGCTACGAACTGTCCTTAACTCCAGTTCCAGGGGAATCCGAAGCCCTCTTCTGACCTTCGAGGCATTGCATGGCATGGGTGCACTCACATACATGCAGGCAATATACTCATACACATAAAATAAAAATACTAAAAAAAAAGAAAGTATTTCCCTATAAACCAATGAAATGTTATATAGCCATCAAAAAGCTAACTCAGATGCCATTTCTTCATGGTTCCAGGGCCAAAAATGTTGGCTTTATTATTCTAGAACTCTTTTCTAGTTGACAGTGTAAGCTTAGCAGTCAGTAGCCCTGAATGTGCTTTGGATTCTGCCTTATTAAAATTACCTGTATATTGTCTTAAGGACTCTCTTCCTAATATAGTTTAGACAAATAGTGATTAAGCTCTTTGTATCTTCCATAGTGCCAAGGTCAGTACTTTGTAAACCACAGTTAGGTTAATGTGTACTGTTAAGCTGAGCAAATCAATTAACAAGCTTGTCTTTGCTACACATATATTTCTCTTCTAGTTGAGAAGCTATTAATTAAAAGCATAAGTGATCAAAACAGTAAATGTAAATGACTATAAGGAGTGTTAATTTAACAAATCCATTCTTCAAGTCTGAGATTGTTATATGGTTTTTGAGCCTGTTTAGTTATTCTTACCTGTTACTTCATCACTGTGGGTAGACAGAAGTTTCCAGATGAGATAAGGCCCACCAAGGATAACAGCAAAAAAGAGGAATATTGGCCAAGATTTTGCTGAGTTAGCTGCTTGGTCCTCAGCACCAAGGCAGGCTACAGTTCCTTCACTTTCTGCCCATAGGTCCTCGTTCTCAGAGCCTCTTCTTAAACCCATCATCCACTGCAATCGTCGGTAAAGATATCTTATAGTCCTAACTAATGCAAAAGCTGAAAAAACCTTTGTAAAGTGTATTTTTAATCGGGAAAAGTGATTTGCTACATCCAACACAGCCCTGAAGCTGTTATAGACAGCTGAAAAGGTAGCATCCATCATCATACTGACAGAGGCGAATGCATGCACAATGCTTTCAATGGACTGAAATGCACCTCGACTGCTTTCTTCAGCTTGCTGAACAAACCTACTTGGTGGAAGATCATCAACTCGGAGGCGGTTAAAGCCCAAACCATTATATCCATAACTATAAGGGCTATAGCTTCCATAAAATGAATTTCCATAGGTGCCGTAGCCAGAAGAAAATGAACTGTACGCAGGTCTGAAAGTGCTGACACTGCTGTTCCCTGTCTGCTGCGATGGCCTTGGAAGAATAGGTGGGGGCACTCTGGTAAGTGTTGGTTGTCCAGGTCTTGTCAATAAAGTAGGGCCCAAATCAGCAGATCTAAAACCCCAAAAGATTCAAGAGTTACTTAAGCACACAACAAATGCAATAAATCTTTTGTTAAACTTAGTTAAGTTTTAATTATAGTCACCAAATTTTGTTTCAGAATTTTCATTTCTTTTTAATAGTATGTAGTATGTTGGAAAAAATTATTTTACTGTCTTTGATATGTTAAATTAAAGTCTGAATGGTGGCCCCATTTTCTGGAATCTATGACTCTGTTCTCCATGTTTTACTATCTAAGCCATGTTTCAAATGTATTAAAGAATTGTAGTAATAATTACAGGCTTTGGAGACAAAGTTTCACTATTTATCATACGCTGGCTTAGAACTACGTAGCCCAAGTTGGCTTCAAACTCATGATCCATCAAAATCTTCCTGCTTCAGCCTCCCAAGTGCTTGAATTACAGACAAATGCTTACATTTTGACCATGACCTATCACCTGAGGTCAGGTGTGAAATGCTGTACCTGTGTCATCATGTCAATTCTCAACAAGTTTGAGATTCTGGTGCATTTTGATTTGGGGATGCTCAAGTTGTCCCTCATTACCCTTATTCCAAATTATATTTACCCACATGCCAGTTGACAGACATGTGGGTTGTGTGAGTGCTCTAGCTGTCAAGATGCCACTATGTGCAAGATTTGTATGGATGTATTTTCTTATCTCTTGGGTGATTATCTACGTGTGAATTGTTGGGTCATACAATAAATAATCTTTGGAGGAACTGCTAGACTATTTTCCAAAGCAACCAGATCATTTTCATTCCCACCAGCAGTACTCCAAGGTTCCAATTTCTATACATTCTTGATATACATAGCCAACTTAGAGGGTGAAGAGTGACACCTCACTGTGTTCTTTTTGTTGTTCTTTCTTAAGACAGGGTCTCATGTAACCCAAGCTGGCCTCAAATTTGCTTTATACCTAAGGATGACCTTGAACTCCTGATCCTCCTGCCTGACACCACTTTCGAAGTGCTGGGATTACAGGTGTGTATTACCTCATCCAGCTTCACTGTGGCTTTTCTTTTTCTGAAAAATATTTTTATTTATGTTGTATGCTTTGCCTGCATTTATAATAAATGCACCCATGATGTACAAAGCCCTTGGAGGCCAGAAGAGGGCGTCAGATCCCCTGCAACTGGAGCTACAGATGGTTGTTAGTCATCATGTGTGGGAACCAAACCCAGGTCCTCTACAAGAGTAGCTAGTGCTCTTAACCACTAAGTCATCTCTCCAGCCCTGGTTTTTCATTTTTAAAGATTATTTATTTTTATGTGTTTGAGTGTTTTGCCTGAGTATATGTAACTACACCTGTGTGTGCAATGCTTGCAGAGGCCAGAAGAGGCGCTGGATTCCCTGGAACCAGAGTTATAGACAGTTGTGGAACAGAACCCAGATTCTCTGCAAGAGCAGCCAGTGCTCTTAACCACTAAGCCATCTCTCCAGCCCCTTCATTGTAGTTGTGATTTGTACTTCTCTTAGGGCTAATAATAGTATGCTTCTTTTTATGTCCTCTTGGCCATTAAAAAAAAATCTTACTGGAAGAAATATCTACACAGATGTATATCATGGGGTGTGTATGTAGGTCAGAGGACAACTTGTGGGAGTCAGTTCTCTTCCTCTACCATGTGGGTTTTGGGACTGAGCTGGAGTAATCAGTCTTGGTAGCATGTACCTTTACCCACTAAGCCATCTTACCTGTCTCCTTTTTTCCAATGAGTCTTTTTAATCATAGCCTTTTTATTATCTTTATTATTGAGTTGTAAGAGTCAAAATGTCTTTTAAAACTGGTTTTTGAATAAAAATCCAATTGAGGTTAACACACTGCCATTTGACTTTCTCTTCCCATTCTAAAGTAAGACCATCAGGGCCAACAGGATGGTTCAGTGGTTTTGAAAAAAAAGCTTGCTGGACAAGCCTGATGACCTGAGTTTGGTCCCCTGAACCCATGGTAAAAGGAGACCTGACCCCCAAAAGTTGTCCTCTGACCTCCACATGTGTACAGTAGATGTGTGTACCCCCATTCACATGCACAAGCATGTGGGCATGGACACACACACACACACACACACACACACACACAAATGATGTAGTAAAAATAAAATCGAGGGGGGGCTGAAGAGATGACATGTGGTTAACAGCACTGGCTTCTCTTGCAGAGATCCTGGGTTTAGTCCTTAGCACCCACATGGCAGCAACTAACAACTGCCTGTAACTCCAGTTCCAGGGAATCTGACACCCTATTCTAGCTTCTGCAGGCACTGCATGACATAGGTACATCTACATACGAGCAGGTAGAACACTCATACACATTAAAAAAAAAAAAAAATACACCAAACAAAAAACGCCAGGTGTAGTGGTATAATGCCTTTAACACCCAGGGAAGAGGCAAACAGATCTCTGAGTTCAAGGCCAGCCATGTCTACATAGCAAATTCTAGGCTAGTCAGAGCTACATAGTATCTTGCTAAATGGACATCCCTGTCTCTAAATATTTACATTTATACACAGAGTACTGCCCTCAATCTTGGCCAGGGAAGCTTCTCTGCAGTGGTGAGCAGCTAATGCAGAGACTCATGGGTGTTCAAATGCTCATAGTAAGTGACTGTTGAGTACTCAGCCCTAAATGGGACATCTGTATCAACTCCTGCTCCCCTGAGGCTCAGGGAACACAGAAGATGGGGTAGAAAGAATCTAAGAGTAGGAAGATGGGAAGGAGTGCTGAGAAATGCTGTCTTCTGGACACGGCATGACCACGGCACTCATGAACTCACTGCAGTTGTGGTTATTCCCAAGACCTGTCAGCATTTCAACAACAGCACTAATTAGACTCAGTGGGCTACAAATAAGAAAAAAAAAAAAGAGGGAGATGCACTGGGGGTTGGGGTTGCACATGGTCAAGATAAACTGTTTATATGTAGGAAACTGTCAAAAAACATGAGAGAGTCTATTAAAAATTTTAAAAAGTAAACTTTAATCATCCTTTAAAAAAAAAAGAAAAGAAAAGAAATTTACAGACCTAAGACAGGGATTGGACAGTGACATGCCTCAAGCCCAGGAAACAAGCTAAATTCTCCACACAACACATGGTATCTGTAGTCTAACCCACTGTTTTTACATCTGATTGTCACATGGGATTGGGTGCTGCAGGTACACACAGTAGAGGCGACAGGGAAATTACTACACAAAGAGAAGGAAATGTAGAAAAAAGTACAATTCTACAATTCCCACTCAAAAGAGGTTCATAAAAATGTCACAAACATGAAGTTAAAAAAAATCCACTAAGCAACCAGGCTAACAACAACAAAAAATCGATAATAAAAATTAAAAATACAGCTGTTGAGAAAGTTTGGCAGTTAAGAGCATTATCTGCTCTTGGCTGGGTTTTGTTCCCAGCACCCATGTGGTGGCTCACAACTGTCCTTAACTCTAGTTTCTGGGGATCTGACACCCTCTTCTGTCCTCCATGGGCTTTGCATGTATGTTGTGCACTTACATACATGTAGGCAAAACACTCATAATGTAAAATATAAATAATTTAAAAATATAGGAAAATGAATTTAATGTAACAGCTCATGCATAGATTTTAGATATGTGATCAGAGACACAGCAATATTATAAAAATAGAAAAATAAAATGAAATAAAAACATATAAACATGAAAGAAATCCATTAGAAATCTTCGACATAATGTACATAGCCATAGAAACTGTAAACTAAGTAAGTGTAGGCTAGGTAATCAGACCAACTCTCTACATGGAAACAACTAGACAAGATGGGGGGAAAACCACCAACAACAGAAAAATATTTGTATAAAGCATTAGAGACATTTAGAGTAAAGAGTTGGGAAGAAAGCAAGCCCAGAGTTCACCATTTTGAGAGGTGTTTCTAGAGCAGAGAAGCTGACAGCCTGAGGACTGCACAGAGCTTTAAACCAATCCCTGGGACAAAAACAAAACCTCCAAGAGGAGGGCAGAGTAAACCATACTTAAGACTGGAACCGTAAAGGCTACATGTTAGGAGTGAGCAGGGAAGATGGAGAGGAAATAGACTAGCCTTGGTTTAAAATATAAACAAACAGATACATGTTTTAAATCAATTCAATCCTTGATTGCAATAAAGTACTCCTAGTGCCCTGGCAATCTGTCAAAACTAAGTCTTCAGAAGTAGATACTATTCCTAGGTCTCAAATCGTCTTAAATTATCTCTATATAAGGTCCAGTACTCACTAAAAAAGGCTGACAGAATGATGACAGAATTACATTAAAAAAAAAAAAAAAAAAGCAACATCAGATAATACAAAGAGCTCCATACCGGGGCTGGAGAGACGGCTCAGTGGTTAAGAGCACTGACTGCTCTTGCAGAGGACCCAGGTTCGATTCCCAGCACCCACATGGTGGCTACAAACCATCTGTTCTTAACTCTAATTCCAGAGGAATCTGAAGCCTTCTTCTGACCTTCGAGGCATTGCATGGCATGGGTGCACTCACATACATGTAGGCAATACACTCATACACATAAAATAAAAATAAAATATTTTAAAAACAAAGAGCTCCATACCTATAGGGGGATCCAGAAAAGGAGAGTTATCAGACCTTAAAATATGTTTAATACAATATTTTAAAAACCTTGGATTTTCAGCAAAATATAGAAACATCAAGTCAGACCAAAAGTAAATTCTAAAGAAAACAAAACAAAAACCTCTGAACTATGAACTCAATAACTAGTTTAATAGGATACAGGCTACATGAAAAATATAGGCCTGGAGCTAGGGAGATGGCTTAGTAAGTGAAGTCTATACAAAAGCATTAAGGACCTAAATTTGGATCCCCAGCACCCATGTAAAAAGCTAGGCATGGAGGATCCCAGAGATGGGAGATGAAACAGGAGGATCCCTGGGGCTTCCTGACCAGTCAGTCTAGCCCAATGAGTGAGCTCCAAGTTCAGTGAGAGATGCTGTGTTAAAAAATAAGACGGAGAGTGATAGAGGAAGATGCCCTTTGTTGAACTCTGGCTTCGACATACACACACCTGCATGTTTACATGTCAACACACACCACACCCACACCCACACCATTAAAATAAGTAGTAGTATAGGCCTTAGTCAGGTGTGGTTGTTTATGCCTGTAATCTCAGCACTTGGGAGGCTGAGGTAGGAGGATCCTGAATATGAGGCCAACCTGGGCAATTTATCAAGACTCTCTCTCAAGAGGAAAAAAAAGGGGGGGGGTACAGATGTAATGTTTAGTTAGAGGAGTAAAGAGACAATAGATAGAAACAATACTTTAAAAGAAAAAAATGATTTTTTCTGAAATTAATGAAAGGCATCAAAGTCAAAGGATTCACATGAATTCCACATAGGATTATAAAAAGAAAACTATACAGAGGCCCAATAAAGTTGCTCAAAATAAAACAAAACAGAGAAAAATCCTGAAAGCAAGCAGAAGGGAAAAGAAATTCTTAATAAAGAATACAGGAGTGGAGAGATGGCTCAATGATTAAGAGCATGGGCTGCTCTTGAAGAGGGCCTGGATTTGGTTCCCAGTACCCACTTGGCAGCTAACAACTGTGTGAAAACTAGGGGATCCAAAGCTGCCTTCTGACTCCCGTGGGCATTGCATGACACAGGAGCACTTACATGCAGACAAAACACTCATACACATAAAAATAAAAATAAATTTTACAAAATTTTTAAAAAAGCAAGAATAGGGGTTGGAGAGATAGCTCAGTGGTTAAAGAACACTGGTTGTTCTTGCAGAAGACCCGGGTTCATATCCCAGCACCCACATGGCAGCTAACAGCTGTCCATAACTCCAGTCCCAGGGGATCTGACAGCCTCTTCCAACCTCCACAGGCACTGCATGACACGGGTGCATTTACCTACATGCAGGCAATACATGCATACACATAAAATAAAAATAATTAGCAAAAATTTTTTAAAAAAGCAAGAATAAGTTGAAGATGACTAAAATCATCAAAAAGCTGACAGGAAATAAAAAGGAAACCAGGAAAAATTTAGGTCCCTTGATGACAATGTTAAGAAAGATCTCTAGACTTCTTGCTTACCAAACAAAAATATAGTTCAAAGCACAGTAAGATAATGTATCTTGCAATAGAAACTATTTCTGATATTCCCGACGTTTTTAATGAAGATATGGGAGAGTGCTCAAACAATATTTAAAGGTGTAACTGGCAGAGATTTTTTTTTCTGAGTTAATGAAAATTATAGGCCAGGGGTAATGCAACACTGTAGGGACTTAGGCATGGAGATCACTGGGCATTTAAGGCCAGCCAGACCTCCACAGAAAAACTCTTGCCTCAAAAGCCAGAAAGACAAAAAGGAAGAAAAGAAAGGAATTCTTAAATACTTCATGTACTAACCACTGTGGCTACTGACATGGATGAGGAAAACATACATATGTATGTATGCATACTGATATCCAGACACAAACCCAATAAGGCTTTGTAGAGATCTCTATAGAGGACCAAGGAAGGTTTCAGATAAAATCTTAACGTGAAAACTACCTACAAAGGAATAAAAAGAAATGGAAATTTTTCAATAGGAAAAAATTTCAGTACACAAACTTTCTTAAGTTATAAAACTGACACAAAGAAATGTATAATCAGCCGGGCGTGGTGGCGCAGGCCTTTAATTTCAGCACTCTGGAGGCAGAGGCAGGCTGATCTCTGTGAGTTTAAGGCCAGCCTAGTCTACAAAGTGAGTTCCAGGACAGATGGGGCTACAGGGAGACCCTGTCTCAAAAAGACCAAAAAAAAAAAAAGTAGAAAAGTATAATCACAAAAAACTGTTTTACTTAGGTACATAAATGCAAAGATCTTAAATGAACAAATTCAGGACTGCACATTTAAAAATAAAGGCTAAGCAGATTCATTCAAAATGCAAGATAATTCAACATTAATGCAATAACTCGTATTTTCATTACTAAAAGCAAAATAATATAAATGGGTGCAGAAGAGCTAATCATAAAATACTTTGTCATAAGAAAAAATGTATGGCAGAGGAGTTTGTCAGGATATCTATCAAAAACAAAAGCAAAGAGTATACTTTAACACTGAAAATACCAATCCAAGTGCTGTCCTGGTCTTTACAGGAAAACTGCAGCTTATTGCATATGACCTATCATCGTTAAATTAGTGTCTAGATATTTTAGTGCTTTAAAAGATTACCGGGTTTTTTAACAGTAGAAAACAATTGCAATATATTGAAGATTCTGATGTGTTAAGAAAAATATAATAGTACATAGGAATCAGATAGCCTCAATTAAGATGTTCAAAAGAAAATGCAAATTCATGAAACTTCTAATTCTCCGTTTAACCAAATGGGTGGCAGACCCATTTGCTGATTAAAACCAAAGCAAATAAAAACTATAGGCCTTACACACACACAATTTTGCAAGCAAACACCTCCCACAGATTCAGAATTCCTGTTTTGGAGTTGTTCTATCAAAGCTCAATCCCAAACGTTAGCTAAATTAGTCTGAAAACAACGCCGAGGGTATAAGCTTGGGTTCCAAGTTACGTAAAAGTGACCTTTGGGGCGTTCAACCAGCACCTGGAAAGGTTGTAAACAACTTTTCCAGTGACTTTTGCTCCCGATGCTGGCCGGGCCGAGGTCGCGCTGGGCTACAGCCCGGAGCTCTCAGGCTGAAGCGGGCCCGGCGGAGGCGCCCAGCGCACGAAGTGGGCAGGAAGCCGCCCCTTTTCTTCGAAGCACCGGCACCCAAGAAGCGGGCGGGGAGCTCCGGGGGAACCTCGCGGCTCACCTCCAACACACGTCAGTCACCGAGACCCGCTCGGCTCTCTCCTGGGCCCAGAAGACCTGAGGGTCGCGGCGGGCAGCGGGAATAACGGCTTCAACCGCCTCCGGCCAGGTTCCCTCTCGGGCCCTCTAAACCCGCGACCTTGCAATCCCACACTTACTGGAAAGTGGGGCCAGGGCCCGGGCCGGGGCCAGCCCCCGGAATTCGGCGGGTCTCCCACGGTTTCGGGGGCGGCGGCGGCTGGGACGCCATCTCTTTGCACGCACGGCTACAGCTCCTCGCAGCTACTGCGAGGGCCGGGGTGGAGGAACGCTGGAGTCGCCAGGCAAGATAAGCAGAACACCGAACCCTCCACCCCGCCTACTGCCGAAGTCAACCCAGGGCTGGCGGTACCGAGTCAGCTGGGGCCAGAGAAAGGAGGATACCTGTGATGCACGTGAAGAAACGCCCTCTTTTGATTTCCCCGGGAGTTTCGCTGCCAAATGGAGGATGAGGGCTCATCGACATTTCTGGCAGCGGCTAATAAGTCCTGGATGCCGAGTCCCGCGGAGGCTTCTCGGGGAGCGGACTTCGGGATGCCACGAAAGCCCCACGCGCTTTTGTGTTCGCGGAGTAGGTGGAGGGTGAGGCTGCGAGCCGTGCCAGGCTTCCAGGTTTCCTTTTAAGAAAGAGGGGGAGGTTCACGTATTCCTCGCGAGAAGGGTCTGGTACTTTCGTTCTAAAGCTCTGGTTTCCTCGGGGAACGGAATTGCTAGGCGCAGTAGGTGCGTTGTCCTTATTCGTCCCCATTTCCTCCCTGGGCCGAAAAGGGTTAAAGTCCTGGGCTTCAGCATATTGAGAGCAGGTGAGGCGGGGGAGGACTGAGGTGAGGGGTTTCGGACTGCTGGGTACCAAGGAGGTGTGGCTGGAGGGAGGCCTTTTGTCAGCCTGGGGGTAGTGAAGGAGAAGTTTGTAGGACCCAGCAGAGAGGGCAAAGGCTTGTTCTGCCAGAACGGAGACTTGCGGTTAGACCTTGGGATAAACTGCAAGAGCCAGACTAGATTCTGTATCCCATGCCCCCCACCACCACCACGGGACGTGTGTGGAAGTAATTTTAAAAGATCTTATGGTATCAGACTCAGACCTATGCTTTAGGGTTTTTTTTTCCTCCTTCCGTCCCTTTGGATGAATGGTTTTTATAATTGTACAAGGGGTCACAGGAGAGCCCTTCCTCTCCATTTTATCAGCCTGCACTATAGTTATGGTTGGCATGTGGAGAGATCCTTCTTTTGCAACTTTTCCTTAATTCTTTCAGTAAAACACGTGACCAAAAAGCAAAGCTCTTTTAACAGCGGGCGACCCACACTGGAAAACTTACAGTGTGAGATTTGTGTCTCAGGGCTTTTTTAAAGGGTAAGGCTAATAGATCACAACTCATTTCTTTTCATGAAATCCTACGATTTCATTACATCAAGATGAAACAGTCAAATATAAGGTATGTGTCTTCCTTTTAATGTTTTGTGTGAGAAGTCACTAGATTATTGCCAGGTGAATATGGTCTTGAGACATTTACAACTCCATAGTTTGATCAACATACACATTCCAGAAGCTTTTTTTTTTTTTTTTTTTTTTTTCTGGTTGAGTCGTTTCAGACTCCAAACCACTCAAGACAGGAGGTTTTGCAGTTTCTCAACAGGTTTGGGAACGTCTCAGAGCATGGAGATTGTGATGTGTCATTTTTTGACTTGGCTTTGTTATGGAAAAAGTCTTCCAACAGCAGAGATGAAGCATTTGCCCAGGAGAGAGTTAGAAAGCTCTTTATTTCTTGCTCGGGCCCCAGAAAGCAACAAAAGCTTTTTAGATTCTCTGGGGCCCTGAAACAAAGTACAAATGTGGATTATATAATCTATTTTACATGATCACTTTAGAGTTAGCATCTGGGCCTATGTTTCTTTTCATGATGGGCCACATTATCTTAGGAAATTCCTTCCTGAGTTCACTTGGCCAACATAGTTTTCAAAGTAGAGATCCCAAGTGTGCGTCAGGACACCTGCCACCTTTTGATCTATAGCTGGGCTAGGCTAATTGGGCTAGGACCCCGTCATTTCAGGTCACAAAATCAGGTCTCAGCCTAAGTTTAGATTTCTGACATATTTGATCTACACTTTTCTTGGATTAATTGGACCAGGTGCCCCATTAAACCATTTGATAAACTTTCCGTTCTTTTAGTTTTACATCCTTATCAAGTTAAACACAGTGAGTGGAAACCATCATAGAGCTTCAAGACTTAACAGAGTAACAAAGTGTCTCAGGGTAGTGAGAACACCATAGAGCAATACAACAGCCCTGAGCATCCCAGGGTTACATTTCAAGGTATTCACCTAGTAAATAAAACAAAGGAAACTTCAAGTGGCCTAAGCTTACAAGAGTAATACCTTTCCTTGTCACCTTTATTCTGGTGAACCTGTGGAGAAACAGCAGTCAGCATTAAGACAGGAATGTAGTTAGATAAGTCCAGAAGGAAAGTTTCAACACAAAGTATCCTTTTAAAAGCACTTGCTGGTTTGTTTTTCTTTCTGAGTCAGATGTTAATCTGTATTGAATCAAATCCTTGACTGTAACTAATGGAAAGGAGAGAAAAAAACAAGATAACAAGTAGGGGGTACTGAACTTTATTTTTTTATGGAGGAGGTCTCATACTGAAGCCCTCCCTATGCCCATGCTATCCTTGAACTCATGATGATCCTCTTGCCTCATTCTCCTGAGTACTGAAGTTATAAGCGTAAGTCACCAGGCCTGACAAGAGGGTGCACTTTAAATGCTTATTTTTGGCTGGGTGGCTCACGCCTTTAATCCCAGCACTAGGGAGGCAGAGGCAGGTGGATCTCTGTGAGTTCAAGGCCAGCCTGGTCTACCTAGTGAGTTCCAGGACATCTGGGGCTACAGGGAGACCGTCTCAAAAAAAAAAAAAAAGCTTATTTTCAGCCCCTCACAGAATCTCAGAATCTCAATCTTCACTCAGTAGCAAACAAACATGTTAAGTGAGCTTGGGGAAGGGATTCAGATAGTGAAATAGTGACTTGACCACAGTTTTATGGGGCGTCTCCCCATATTTTAGGTACTTTCTTGAAAACACCCTGGAACTCGGGTTTGTGTAGGCAGCCCCGAGTGCTCCCAGTCTTGCCATGAAAAAGTTCTCACCATTGTGTCCAGACCAAACTTGACCTTTTTTGTTCCTTTCCTCTGTAATTTATTTAGTTGGTTGAATTTTGCCAAGCCAGAGATGATCCAGTACAAGGTTAAAAGTAAAACTTCTCTGTTCTATTCATTATTCATCTTAAAAACAGCCACTTTAGTTTTGTTTTTTGAGACAGTGTCTCACTAAGTAGCTGTTGCTGGCCTGGAACTTGCTCTGTAAACTAGGCTGGCCTTGAACTTGCATTGATCCTCCTGCCTCTATCAAGTACTGGGATTATAGGAATATCCCACCATGCTTGGCCCTTCCTTCCTTCCTTCGTTCCTTTGTTTCTTTGAACCTTCATTTGCTTGATGATATTGATGCACTTCATCTTAATCTAGAATGCTAATGTAAATTCTTTGACAGAAGGCTTTATTTGATGGCAGCTGCTTTTTTTTTTCCTTTGAAGACAAATTCTTGGTTTGTAACACATATGCTTAATACTCTGCCTCAGCCTCCTGAGTAACTGGGACACAGGCCCACTGACATTGCACTTAGTAATTGATTCATCTTATGACCTGCCAAATTCGTATTTTAGAATATAAATATGAGCATTATTTCAGATGAAAGCTAGTTTTTATTAAAGTGATGATGTATTTGTAACAGTAAAACACTGAAACTGCTCATTTGTTTTTCTTTTCCTTCTTTCTAATTATAATTCAGTATGTTTCCACTGACTGAGGAAAACAAGCATGTGGCCCAGTTGTTGTTCAACTCTGGTACCTGTCCACGATGTATCTTCAGATTCTGTCGTGTGGATCTTCATGCGCCTTACAAACTTCCATCCAAGGTATTTTCTTTAAAAAAAACTTTTAAAAGATTTTCTTTATAATTATGTGCATATGTGTGTATCTGTGTGTGGATATGTGCATGTGAATGCAAGTGCCTGTCAGAGACATCAGATCCCCCAAGAGCTGGAGTTGCTGGCAGTTGTAAGCCTGACATGGTTGCTGGGAATTGAACTCGTGTCCTCTGGAAGAGCAGTGTGTGCTCTAAACCACTGAGCCTTCTCTCTGGCTCAGTGTATTTTCTTTTCCTTTTTTTTAAGATTTTATTTTTATATTATATGTATGCCTGTATTTCCTGTGTGTATGTAAGTGCACCTGTGTTGTGCAGTCCCCGAGAAGGACAGAAGGAAGTGTCAGATCCCCTGGAACTGGAGTTAGGGACAGTTGTTAGCTGCCATGTGGGTGCTGGGATTCAAACCTGGGTCTTCTGCAAGAACAGCCAGTGCTCTTAATCACTGATCCATCTCTTCAGCCCCCCTAATGTATTTTCTTTTTAAGTTAAGGGGTGTTTTCTATATTTTGGAATGAATATCTATACCTTTGAAGGCAGTGATCTATAACTCTTCACTAAATAAGGAAAACAAAATGATTACTATTCATGTGGATTTGAAATAGTAGTTACCTTAAAAAACTTCACCTTGTGGGCCTGGAGAGATGGCTGAGTGGTTAAAAACACTGGCTGTTCTTGCAGAAGACCCAGGTTTGAATCCCAGCACCCACATGGCAACTAACAGCTGTCTGTAACTCCAGTTCCAGGGGATCTGACAGCCTCTTCTGTCCTCTGATGGCATTGCATGACTTGGGTGCACTTACCTACATGCAGGCAATACAGGCATACACATGAAATAAAAATAATAAATATTTTTAAAAGTTCACCTTGGAGCCGGGCATGGTGGTGTACGCCTTTAATCCCAGCAATTGGGAGGCAGAGGCAGGTGAATCTCTGTGAGTTCAAGGCCAGCCTGGTCTACATAGTGAGTTCCAGGACAGCTGGGGCTATAGGGAGACCCTGTCTCAAAAAGACCAAAAAAAAAAAAAAGTTCACCTTGGAAAATAGTTGCTTTTTAAGTGATTGCACTAATACTTAACATTTAGTCTAGAGAGGGATCTTTGTAGCAGAATGTCTACTCTTTGTGTAGGCATTTTATAAAGGACTGTGTCCCACCAGTTATTAAAAAGATGTAATAGGAGGGCTTCATAGTGTGTGTACATAAGTGCATGTGTGTGTGCATACGTGTGTGTGTGTGTGGTATGTGAGTGTGGGTGTGTGTATGCCACAGTTCACATATAGGTCAGAGGACAACTTTTGGAGTTGGTTTTCCTTCCGCTATGAGCTCCAGGGATAAACACAGATTGTCAGGCTTGTGTGGCAGGCCCTTTCCCCTACTGTTCCATCTTGCTGGCCTTGGTTACCTTTTTCCTGATTCTGTATTACCATTTGTATGTATTTTTCTGGTGCTGGGGCTTGAACCCAGGGCCTCACACATGCTGGGCATGTATTCTACCACTGATTTGCACCCCCAGCCTACCACTTGTTTCACCCAGTGAATAGGATATGCTCTGAGAAATGTGCCCTTACCTGACTTTGTGCTTGTGTGAACATCATGGAGTGTACTTAAATTAAGATGACTACAATATTAGTAAGCAGGCAGTATACTCTGAAGGGATCACCATCCACAGCTATGTAGTCTGTTGTTGTCAGGAACATTATATGGAATGTGGCAGTACTTGGAATCCTTTAGAAGTGCTTATCATGATCATTACTACTAATATTAGTAACAACAAAAATAACAAATGGAAATTTTTACGTTTATAGTAATAAATCAAGAGCTGTGTCATGGAGGATTTCCACATAAAATATATAACATATTTGTGAAATACGTGTAATACTAATAGTGACATTCTTTTCAAAGGCAGATAATTTGTGTACATGTATAAATATATAGTCATACACACATGTTCAGTTTCTTGTTTTAAAAATTGCCAATGACTTAGCAATAGCTGCTATTCTCCCTATAGAAGTCATTGTTTCTATTGCTTTAGAAAGAATAGTGCCCGCTATTCACCCAGCATTACTAAGTGTCAAGCTTTCTTATACTCTTTTTTAAGTGTATACTATGATTATCTCTATTTTCAGATGAAGAAACTGAAACACAGAGAGGTTAAGCAGCCTGCCCAAAGTTACAGAGCTATTAAATGAGCAAGCTAGGAACTGAACAGTATGTCTGAATCCAAAGCCTAGAATTGGGAGTTAGAAGACATGGATTTGAATCTCAGTTCCACCACTGTACAGCTTCAGTTTACTCCTGTATTCATGGGAATGTGATAACTTCTACTTCACAGGACTTTAAGGGACAATAAAAGCACTTGAAAACTAGTACTGCACTTACGCAACGACGGTTACTACGTGTGTAATATTTATATGATGTAACTATAAAGTAGTAAGATTTGTTTTTGTAATCTTTATACTTTTTTTCACACATATCACACTATGCACATACTGGATTTAAAATATATTTTATAAAGAGACTTAACAACTTTGTAACATTCTATGTGAATAAATACATAAAAATATTTGAAGAGCTTTTTGAAATGTTCTTAAGTTTTGTTTTGTTCCACTCATTTAGCTATATATGAACATGTTCACATGTATGTACTATGTCACACTGATGTTAAGATATTAGGTAGTAAGAACATTTGTGTGAGCCATAACATACCTGTATATGTGTCTATATGAAGTTCTTGTGAAAACTGGAGAGCTAATGCACCAATAAAATAAACTGAACTTGTTTGAATGAATGATTTTTCTTTGAGATAGTGAAGTGTACTCTGAATGAATTTCAAAGGGATATATATCTAACACCTGACTAGTCAAACCAGCCTGATTTAGAAGAAGCACAAGGAAAGTTCTCCAAGTGTTTAGATGGGTGGGTTTCAGAATTATTACAGTGTTTTCAAGGGAATCCTAGTTTTTACATTCACACAGAAATTAGGCAGAAAACTTAGGGCTTTTTTCAATTAATGCATATAAATGGATTCTAATTTAAGGTGTTAAGTTTTAGCACTATCAACATATATGTATTTTGTTTGATAAATTGTCTCAAAATTTTCACTTTATAGACCTCCAAATGATCAGATTTCTTACTAAACTAATACTGTGCTTGTGAGGTTTTAATGAGTGTGAGGCTATTAAATAATTTAGCAAGGATGGAAAATCAGTTTGTAGTTCCCTATTCCCCCGCCTGCCTCTCTGACATTGGGGTTGGAACCCAGGGCTTCATGCGTGCTAAGCTGGTACTGTACCACTGAGCTATATCTCCATCCCAGTTTGTATTTTTATGTTTTAATCATTAGAATTGAAGTGTTTTTTTGAAATTAGTTAAGTGACCTTCACAATAGAACTATAAGCCAAATTAATAAATCTGTTGATGGAGCCTTTCTACTTAAGGTTTTATTCACTGATAATGGAATTCTTTTGGAAAAATATTCACACACACATATGGACACACACACACACACGAACAATTGATTAGTTTCTAAAATTCCCTGGAAAGCCAATGCTGTAATATGTTGACTGTTCATGAATTGACATAAGTCAGCACTGTACAGATCTGTGATGCTATAATTTTCACTTGTTTTTTCTAAAGTTTTGTTTTGGGGACAGGGTCTCACTGTGTAGCCTGGCTGGTCTGGAACTTGCTATATAGACCAGGGTGGCCTCAAATTCACAGAGATCCATTTGCCTCTTGATGCCACCATGCCTGGCTAGCTAATTTTCACTTGTGGTTTCAAGCTTCATCTTATTAGAAATCTTTAAAGATACTTTTAAAAGATTATTACTTTTATTAACTTTTCAGGAGTTGTTCAGTGATCTAGAAAGATTTCTGGAAACCGAAAAAGATGAATTAATTTTGGAAGTTCCCAATCCACCTCCCAAGAAAATTCGACTGCAAGAATTAGAAGATGGGGTTGAGAATTTGAATGAAAACACAGAGAACAGGATCTCAGTTACTAAAGATGAAAGCTTTGCTTCTCAGCACTCAAATTTGGGTGTGTGCAATGTTTGCCTAGGAATTCTTCAAGAATTCTGTGAGAAAGAGTTCATTAAAAAGGTAAATAATCTGTTTCTTATTACAGGTGTAATTATGTAGACAGTTTTAGTCTTAAAACTTAGAATTTTTAATATGTTACGAAACAGTACAGCCAGGCCAAAAGAACAACAAAAAAAAAAGTATAATTCATTTCAACTTGATCATTAAAATGCCTTCTTAATTAAAAAAAAAGCACCAAGTATTCTGAAATAATTTCTTCATGTTAACCTATTTGAAAATTAGGGGCTGGAGTGATGGCCCAGTGGTTAAGAACACTGGCTGCTCTTGTAGAGGACCTGGGTTTGATTCCTAGTACCCACATGGTGGCTAACAACTGTAGGTAACTCCAGTTCCAGGGGATCTGATGTCCTCTTCTGGCTACCGTGGACACCCATGTGGTGCACTTACATGCAGGCAAAAAAACCCACTTGTATATAAATATATTTGAAAGTTAATGAAAACTATTTGGCATTCAGCATACTGTTTTGAGGATGTCAGTGATCCAAGGTCACAGTTAGCAAATATTTAATCTCAGGATATTTATGAGCATTCCCCACTCAAATGTGAAAGTTTTGTTTGCTTGCCTTTGTTTTGGGCTGTGCTAGAGATTGAGCCCAGGGCCTGTGCTGTGGTAGGCAAGTTACTGAGCTACATTCTGAGCTCCTGACTGAAATTTGTGCAGTGTCATCTCAAACAATGCATAGATTTGTTACTAAGGTTAGAGAAAAATGTTCAGCAATTCTTGGAAGTTTACATATTTGTAATACTTTTTTAGGTGTGCCAAAAGGTTGAGGCCTCTGGGTTTGAATTCACCAACTTGGTTTTTTCTGTCTCCTTCCCACCACAGCTATCTGTAAGAGAGGTAAGATCATTTTCAGACTTAAAAGTATATGTAAAATACTTGCTAGAAATTTCCAGACACAAAAAATGGGAGTGAGGTGGGCATGGTGACTCATACCTATAATCTGAGCACTTGGGAGTGGAGGCAGGATGACCAGGAGTTTGAGGCCATCCTGGGCTATTGAAATCTTATTTTGCCAAAACAAAGCAAACCACAAAAGAAAAATATAGAAATACTCTTTATCCTATTGAGTATTCCATATTTTGTTATTTGTTACATGATCAAAGCTATTTACTGCTACTTCTTTTAGATTGAAATTAATGAAAAAGGAATTACTGGTTCATCATTCCACTTGTTTCTGATGCTGAGGACAGAATTCCATCTTCAAGCATGTCAGCACATGCTCTTCCACCAAGCTACACCATAACCCCTATGCCATATTTTTACAAGACTGTCATTTAGCAGCAGACATTTGGTGAGCATTATCTCAATGAAAGGCTTGGTAGAAAAGAAGATTTGATCAGGACTCAGAGTTCTTTTAAGGAAAATGTATACCTTTTATAATAGTCCTAGGATAGGATCACTTCAATTATTATAAACCTTATTTTCTGAAGTAAAATGTAAATATGGTGAAATGTGACCTCATGTTTAACTTTTCTTCTGTCTTTTTGGGGGGGATTTTGTTGTTTTGTATTATTATTTTGTTTTGTATTGGGGATTGAACTGAAGGCCTCATGCTTGCTAGGCAAGGCATTGTACCACTGATCTATATCTTTAGCCCCAGCCTCCTAATCCCCCACCACCATTTAAAAAAAATTTTATTATTTTTCTTCTATGTCTATGAGTGTTTGCTTGCATGTATGTAAGTGCGTCCATGTCATACAATGCCCATGGAGGTCAAAAGAGGGCATGGATTCCCCTGGAACTGCTGTTATGGATGGTTGTTAGCCGCCATGTAGGTGCTGGGAATCAAACCCAGGTCCTCTGCAAAGAGCAGCCAGTGCTCTTAACCAGTGAGCTATCTCTCCCGCCCCAGCTCCCAACCTCTTTTTGAGACAGGGTCTTGTTTTATAGTCCTGGCTGGCATAGAACTTGGTATATAGACTAGGCTGGCCTCAAACTTGCAGTGATCCTCTTTCCTCTGCCTTCTGTGATTTCAAATTATGACTGTGGGAGCTGGGCATGGTGGCACACACCTTCAAGCCCAGCACTCGGGAGGCAGATCTCTAAGAGATCGAGGCCAGCCTGGTCTAATATAGTGAGTTTCAGGCCAGCTGTGGCTACAGGGGGACCCTGTCTCAAAAAAGACCCCCTCAAAAAATTATGATTCTGGGTTTTAAACATACCCACTTCTGTTTCTGAGGTGTCTTTCCAATCTAAGAGCCACAGAGCATCTCCAGAATGTTAAATGTTGTCATTTTTAAATATTTATTAGTCACAATAGGCTGAGATCAGAATCTCACCTTTGTGCCATCAGTGCTACCTGTAGGCCAAGAGGCCACAGTAAATCCTGTTTGTAAATACTTGATGCTGTGGGATAGAGATCATCTTCAGTGTTTTTTCAGAGCTGACTATCTTAATTTATTATTGTTGATGTTGAGAACACTACTTCACATAAATATGTAGTACAAAACTACTAAACAATTGTTTAGTGCCATTTCAGAATTTGTTGGGAATTCTATACTACTCCGAAACCAAAATTTATTGAATATTTTTTATGGAACTCAGGTCAGTGACTCAACAATTTTGAAAATCGAACATTCTAACACAATCTAATCCAAAGGTGCAGAAAAGTTTGTATAGTAAAAACACCGCATTGATAACATACAATAGTCCAGAATGGGTGCTGGAGAGACGGCTCAGCCATTAAGAGCACTGGCTGTTCTTACAGAGGACCCAGGTTTAGTTCCCAGCACCCACATTGTCACCAACAACCGTCCATAACTCAAGTTCTAGGGGATTCAACGTCCTCTTCTGGCTTCTGTGGGCAGTGTACAACACAGTTGGACATACATACATACAGGCATAACACTTGTACACGTAAAAATAAGTAAATAAAAATTTTAAAAAACTGTGAAAAACAAAACAAAGGAAGAGAATAGTCTAGACTCTGAGCCGAGGTGCCTGACGCAGCATTTCCTGGTGAGCGGTGCAAGGCGGTTCCCAATGCTTTGCGCATTGCGTGTGTTCGCAGTACGGGCATTTCGTGTACTCAGGGCCAGGTGCAGTGGAGCTGCGTGGTGAGCACAAGCAAATGCTGCCAGCAGTTCCTCCGGCCCAGAGCACGTTTGAGTTAGGTTTTGTTTTGTTGTCTGTTCAGAAACCCTTTACTGTTACCAAGTTTTCCCCGAACCTCTACATTCAGTTATGTGACCCCCAGATGGGATTGCCACCCGCAGTTTAAGAAGCTGGTCTGGGGGCTGGAGAGATGGCTCAGGGGTTAAGAACACTGGCTGTTCTTGCAGAAGACCCGGGTTCGAATCCCAGCACCCACATGGCAGCTAACAGCCGTCCAGGGGATCCGACAGCCTCATTTGTCCTCCACTAGCATTGCACGACACGGGTGCACTCACCCACATGCAGGCAATACATACTCCTAAGATGAAAATAATAAATATTTTTTTAAAAAGCCGGTCTGTAGACACTTGATGCAAATCACATTTGTCTCAAAGCATATTATTTGACAACTTCTGGATCAGAAGTGTCTTCTCCTAGAGTAGCGGTTCTTAAACTTTTTAACATGTATAAGACTCATTCCTAACTAGGATGGTGGCTTCTGCCTGTAATCCTAGTCATGAGGCTGGGCAGAAGGAAAGCCATGAATTTGAGGCCAACCTGGAGAATTTTCCAAGCTCCATCCCAGCAATTTGATGTATTGGGATGTATTTGCAGTCCTAACAAACTCACTGATGCTATTGTTACAAAGACCACATGTTGAAAATTAATAATCTTAATTTTTTTGCATATTTACTTGTGTGGTGGTGGTTGGGGGTGTACTTGTGGGTGCTTGACTACCATGGAAGAATAACTTGTAGGAAATGGTTGTCCTTCTACCATGTGGGTCCTAGGAATTGAACTTGGGTCATCTTGTTTGATGACAGGTGCTTTTATCTGTTGAACCGTCTCACCAGCCCCAAATTAAGAATCTTTTAAAATTTGTATTCTTGAAAAGGAGGAAGAGGAAGAGATAGAAGATAAAGTTTTGATAAGTGAATTTCAAATAATCCAAGGAAAATCGGCATAAGAATCTTGACTAAAAGATAAATTATAAGGATTAGGAAGTTCAGGGAAAGAAAAATTAAGACTTTAATCAAAACTAAATTATTCTGACCAATAAAAGAAAGTTTAGAGGAAAAATATATCCCCATAGAAAGAAACGGAAAGCCAGGTATGGTGACCCATGCCTGTAATTCCAGCACTTGTGAAACTGAGACAGGTGTATTACTATGAGTTTGAGGTCAGCCTGGTTTTATATCAAGTACCAGGCCAACCAGGTCTACATAGTAACAACCTACCTCAAAAAATAACAATAATAAAAAATTTAAAAAATATATAAAATGAAGCTGGGTGTGGTGGCGCATGCCTTTAATCCCAGCACTTGGGAGGCAGAGGCAGGCGGATCTTTGTGAGTTCAAGGCCAGCCTGGTCCACGTGGCAAGTTCTAGGACAGCTGGGGGCTACAAGGAGACCCTGTCTCAAAAAGACCAACACACACACACACACACACACACACACACACACACACAGACATATATATAATGAGATGTATGCCAGAGAGAGAAAAACCATGATGGACCTCTGTGTAACCATTGCCCAAATTGAACAATCAAATGTTTTGCAAACTTGAAATCAGTTACAAATGAAACACACACAAAAAAGAGCCAATAATGCAAATAGAAAAAGGAGACTTAGACCTGTAGAATGGCAAACAGAAAACTAAAACCACCAATGAATAAAAGCTCACAAGAATTGTTAAGAAAAGCCGGGCATGGTGGTGTACGCCTTTAATCCCAGCATTCAGAAGGTAGAGGCAGATGGATCTCTGTGAGTTCAAGGCCAGCCTGGTCTACCTAGTGAGTTCCAGGCCAGCGGGGGCTACAGGGAGACCCTGTCTAAAAAAAAAAAAAAATTGTTAAGGAAGATTTGGCATACGTTAGGATTAGAACAAGAACATGTAACAGGAGCCAGATTTGCTGTTGGAGTGATGGATGGTATAGAAAAAGCTCTGGAAATCCTATTTGCTTCTGCCCCTTCTGTCAAGGCAAATGTGGCCTTCTTTTTAGGTAGAATGATAATTTTTTAGGGAGAATGAAATCTTTACAAAGTGAAGCTTTCTAGGTGGGTTCAATTGTTCAGTCTTGGTAAATTACATTCTAAGACAGATTCAGAAAGAACTTGATGATCTTTGAAGGCTGTCAAAAGATACCAGATTTTCCAAGTGCCTGGAGACTGACTGGTAAAGTGCAGTTCCACTTCTCCAAAGGTGAGGAAGTTGATTCTGTAAATGGCAAGCTGGTGAGCTTAATGTGAAACCTTGGTAAGATTCTTATCCGGGAACTGAAAGAGTGAATTGTGGGCACTGAGTGCAAGGAAGATTGGTTGCCAAACGGGACAAGCTTGCTAAGTGCTGGACAACGTGTCTTCCTTCTGCAGCCACCCAGGTCTGTGGCGCATGGCAGGGCAGCAGCATCAGCATGACTAGATTTCAGCAAGTTGCTGGACCTGGCTGCTTCCTCATGATAATTTCCTGAAAGTGGTAGGAAATTTGGGTAGGATCTAAAGACAGTTGGATTGTGACAGGCTGTCCCTACCTAAAAAGATATCTGATTTAATGACGAGTCTTTGGCTAGACAGCTCAGCCATGTGAAACTTTCTTGGGGAGAGGTGTGGGAAATAGTTGCTGAGTCTTGACTCAGTTCTCCTAAATCTTAATCTCCAAAAGTAGGCCATGGAAACTCCTTGATGATTTCTCACATTGAAACTCAAGAATCACTGAACTTCAGGGAGATTTCTGATGTGCT